GTCTCTAAAGTTACTATTTGCAAATAGTCAATATTATTGTAGGTCCATTTTATTGTTGTTCTTTCTACGCGCCGTTATAACACATTTTCATCTCATCATTTAATTTCTGTTGTGCATATATTATTGTATAGAAGATATTTTAAAGTGATTCATCGGGTGGAAAACGAATAGATAGATAAACTGATATGTGGCGCCATCTAGTGTACCTAAATTCATCTAGAATGTTTCATAAAAGTGACCCGAAAAACGGGGCTAACTCGGTAATCCGTGGCCCGATTTTAACAAAGCTTGTTTTATTCTGTTTCTATTCTCATTTCATTACAAATATGGCGGTATTGTGCGCCGTTTTTGCTGTATTTAATTACAGACAAGCAAACAAACAATCTTAGAGTTTTAGTAGTATATAGATTGTTTTTATGTTTTAAGACTAGAAACAATTTAAACTATGAGAGAAGAAATAAGGTACGTCAAGCTACAATGTTTTTTGGTCCCTCAGTAACTAGACAGTTCTTCACAATTTCTGTTGGTTTTAATATATAATATTAGTAAGAAAAGATTTGGTCTGGTTTTGAATTTCGCGCAAAGCTACACGAGGGCAATCTGCACTAGCCATCCCTAATTTAGCAGTGTAAGACTAAAGGGAAGGCAGCTAGTCATCACCACCCACCGCCAACTCTTGGGCTACTCTTTTACCAATGAATAGTGGGATTGACCATCACATTATAACACTTCCATGGCTGAAAGGGCGAGCATGTTTGGTGGGACAGGAATTCGAAGTTGCAACCCTCAGATTGAGAGTCGAGCACCCTAACCACCTGGCCATGCCGGCTGTCAGAAAAGAGCTACTATGTTTCACTCACTATTAGTTGTTCAGGAAACCAGGATGGTCACCAAAGACATCATGGTGTACCCCATTAGAAGGAATTACTGAAGTGCGATATACATTATAGACAGAGATTGTTTGTTGTGGTAAACGTGGTTATGTTTCGAGGACTTTGACACCCCTTCGTTCATTCACATATGTAACTTGTGCCTAGAGAAAGAGTACTTATGTATATTTCTATGTTTTCTTTGTGTTGAAAAGTAGGTAAACCATTGTTTTGAAGCATTGTTTAAATCAGTTGGTTTCTTTTTGCTAGACAGTTAGCAAAAGATATAAACTGTTGCTGTTATGATAAGTACATTTTTTATGTACCATCTCTTTCTGTTTGACAGATTTAAGAAAAAACCACCCTAACTCACATATATAGCTTTCAGTTCTACTGTTTTTGTGGGCCAAACCTAGTTACTCAGAGGTAAGTCAATGTGTCTGAGAATACCACATTTGTAAGTTGAAAATAATTTATTTGGTTTATAATTTTCTATTTGAATATATATCTATTTGAATACTCATTGGTCACTATATTTTCACAAACATACTCAGTGTGAATAATTCAAAAAAGTCTTATTTTGTGAAAAGTAACTCTTGTGAAACACAAATTACTGCAATATTGACTTATATGTACACAAAGGCAATAATAAAACTTAATCTTGTGTATGTAAAAGATCATGTACTAAAATTACAGAATAATTTTGAAAACATTACTATTCACTTCAGGTAAAAACCCATTATGAAATTTTCATGAAAATCAAACTTTTATTTACAAGGATACAAAGAACTGACCCTATCCATGCTCAGAAGAGGCATGACTAATGGCTTAGTTCCATAAATTTCAACAAATCAGCATAAGCACTTTTCACTAAAATCTTAATTCTAAAAGAACAGTTGCACATAAGGTACACTTTTGAAGAATAACTATTATGCAATATAAAATCATTCACAGGGCCAGTCAATAATTTCTAAACAAGTTCAAATTTATACTTCTTTCTAACCATGAAAAATTGTGCATACACAATCAATATAATATATTGAGCTTGCAGTATTATCTTACATCAATTATAATGTACAATTTCATTCAATGAATCTGGGAATGGTCCCAATTTAAACATTCCTTCCCCACAAAATACATACTGTCCCACAAAGAGATAACTGTATTATTTTGAGGTGTACAATATTTGGGGATGTAAGGAAATAGTAACTAGTCCTAATAATTATCATTTTTGTTCATTTGATTGATTACACAGAAACTAGCAATGTCTATTTGAGTAAGAATCATATTGGTGGAGAAACCATCTGGTCATAGCTTTATACAGTACTTGTTATGGACAAAGCTGGATGAGGAGAGTGAGGGGATATCATATGGTACTGACAAAGAGAAGGAATGGGCAGTGATGTCTTAAAGTAAGTGGTAAATCCATCAGTTGTTGGAATGAAAAAACAGGTGCCCTGTTTGAGGATGTCACATTATACCTTATTATTATTTTATTTATTTAAGTGATGCATCAATTTAAAGTTTTCCAAAGATTTACTACTATAGTGTTCATCAACACTTGACTAAATTATTAAGTTTTTTCATCTTGAAGAAATTAATAAACTCAAAATAAGTGACTCTACCTTTAGTGTTTAAATGAATTAAAATTGAGTTATTACTATGTTCTAAAAAATATGAAAGTGACACCCTGTAGTTGCAAGTGGAAGAGTAGAAAGTAACACACTTTAATGCAGGAATAAGGAAACATGGTTACTTTAGTGACCTCAATAAAGACTGCATAGTTGCTTAATATATGGGCATCCTGCTTCATTATTAGAATACGTCAGGAGGAATAACATTTTATATACATTATATATATGTTTGATTTTTAGTTGAATTGTCATTTTTTTTTATCTTTTATTGAACAAACAAACAAAGAAATGCACAAATAAGTGCATTACTTATGTTAACTCTATGGTGACGAAATATTACTTGAGTTTTTAAATAGTTTACATGGAAAAGTTCAAATAATTGGATGAACAATTTCTAATCCCAATGTAAGTAAACAGGTAATTAAAAGTGTTAGCTTTTGTATATATACAAGTCTTGTTCTCCCCATTATAAAAGTTATATGAAAGTTAGACTTCTCAGTTTAACTTTATAATAACTTGATGATCTTTTAGCTAATTTTACTCATCCTAGAAACCTTGACAAAAGGAAAATTATCAAAGTTCAAATTAAACCTATGAATACTGGATTTCATAATCACAGAATATGTGGGGAGTGCATTAAAAACTGTTTAATTCACAAAATATGTTCTATAAGGATTACAGTCTTTCTTTTTATTGTGTGTTTTAATTTTTGGGTAAATCATACTAAACTAATAGATTCTTTGTTGATATAAGCAGAATAGGTTGAACCCTTTGTAAAATATAAAGAAAACTGCAAAGCGTTCAAACACATCTCTAAAGTATACAATTATAAAACACAAAAAATTAGCTTTCACGTTAAACAAATAAAACCAGATATAAAGTTTTAATCTACTATATAGTCCAAGTATAGGCAATAGAAAACAATTCAAACCTCCCGTATGCTATTTAGATATAAGCACCATTTCTTAAGTGAACTGTTCTACACAAACGTATCAGGCTATATGGTGCACTTGTATTAAGACAGAAACAGCTTACATAAAATATTATGTAAGATCATAACACTGTATATTTTGAAAATGTCTAAATCTTGTTGAGAAGTCTATCTACCATTGGGATTTGATTATTACTGCTTTTAATCAGTATGTTCAATAATTCTAATACATGTTTCCAATTACATGTAAAATAAGGGGAAAACTGGAGATGCATTTTAATTAATATTTTTGCTAAGAGTGGTTATAATCACACTTCCAAAGAAATAGCTACTTTTAACATATGGAATGGTAAAGGAATAAAACTTCAGAAAATTTTGTCTTGATAAGCAAGAAAATATACATCATGCAAAATTCTCTTCATTAAAAATCAGGTCTACAGCACTAAGAACATTTTCTACTTTATAAGTAGGTTCTTTCTGAGCTACTTCGGCTAGGAGGAAATCTCGTGGGGAATGATCGTAATCTCCTTCATCAACATTTTGGTTATAAACACCTGTATGGACAAGGACAGACTTGCAAGAGGTTACACCTTCATCAACCTGTGTGATGAAAAAAAACTTTGTAATGATAAGGGGCTTTACAAGTATGAATTAATCTCTTATACATTTTCTTCAATTATTAAAAAAAATCATACATAAACTAACATACCTATTATTTGTTATGGTGTGAATGCAAAGTGTGATTACAGTTATAATTGTCAAAAGACATTAGTATTAGGAACGCACACCATAATAATTAATATTGTATCAAATGGCTTTTATAAAAATTGTGTTTGTAGTATCCCAGTTGGCATGAAGGGATCTGGAGTGAGCAAAACACATTATCAATAATTGGATATGACAAGTATAACGTGGTTGGAACACTACTATTATACAATCTTCTAATTCTTGAAAATCCCTAAGACACTAGATAAAGAATGTAGTGTTTAAAAATGTAATAGGCCTAGTATTAATATCTTATGAAAAATATAAGTTTATACCTTTTATTTGTTTAATATCTGATCAACAAACAGTGTTATAAACAATTACCTTTGCTGAGATCATTTTTAGATCTCACCTATTTAGATAGCTTGCTTTGATCAGAACTTATTTTTAATTATGATGCTAAAGTGTATCATATTTTGTCAGTGAAGATACACTTGTATGCCAATACATATTTTTGTTAGATAGTATAAAGAGACACTGGACTTACTGACCTTAGGACAGTGGACTTTTACATGTAATTTACTTTTATCTTAGATAGATGCTAAACCAATAATATTTAATTTCCATGGTTTCAAAACGTTGAATTAACATGTTTCTGTTTATTTTTTTTTAGATCAGATTATCATATGGTTTGAGTTTTGCTTGAGCTAAATTTCTCAATAGTGACAGTTAATGATGACTAACTGATTCAGAACCTAACCCAATATTGATATCAATTTTCACAAGTATCATTGTGATTATCCTTTTTCATTGGGTACTCTAACCATTGTCCTTTACATAAAGCTTGATTTCTGTCACTAAGAGTACTATAGTACTGTAAAATATTGTTATAAATTAGTGATATCTCATGTACATACTGTTTTATTCAGTTGTTATGAATAAATTTTGATACTAATGTACTCATCAAAAAAGGAAAGGATTTTAAAACTGTATTTTGAGTAAAGTTTGTACCTAATAAGGTGTGTTCTTTAGCATATTTGTTATGACAGATTTGAGACTAACAATTATTATAAACAAAATTGTTTCATAAATGTGTAGATAGCAAAATATAAGTTTCACAAAGTAAAAAAAAAAAGGTCTTATATTTTTTAAAAATTTTCAGTTGCTCATAATGTATTGATTGTACTCCCAAAAGTATGACCTGATTGATTAATAGCACAATAAGGGTCAAATGTTCAGATGTCCATCTTAATTCTACACACATAGGCCTAAACTAGTTTTTTAAATTAGATTCATTTTAACATCTATAAATAATAATAATGTTATGAAAAAATGTGTATCATACACTCGGTAAACATACATACATTGTTCCATTAATTATTACGTCATATAAAAATTCATAGGAAACCTCGATATGATAATATAACCACATATATCAAGTATCAGTAAGTTAACTTATATTTTGTAACATTGTATATTTCCTATGAATTTTTCTATGACTTGATATGATAATATAACCACATATATCAAGTATCAGTAAGTTAACTTATATTTTGTAACATTGTATTCATAGAAAACACATAACACTATAAAATATAATTTAACTTACCTTACTGACATTTGACAGATGTGGTTATATTATTATAAAAAATTATATAAGTTCAAATAAAGATCAGTAGTTGTGAAATATTTTATAATCAAAACATCTACAACTCACTTCCAAATTGAAATCTTCATCTTGTATGATTCCCATTCGAGAAAGTCCCGTCTCTCTTCTCATTCCAGCTTGAACTCTCACATGTGCAACAACCTCTTCATTTTCTTTCCTCTTTAGTTGGGTGCGTCTCTGTACATAATTGTTGTAGAGGTTTGCTCCAAATATATCTGTATTGATGTTGTCACTATTAGAAAAAATATTTTATATGAGGTAACAGTAATACACTGAAAATGTTGCCAATATACGAGAAAATCAAGTGCAGTGCTGCCCTTAAGCAAAAGTAAGACAAGCAACTGCTTGTGGGCTTTGCACTGTTGAATTAAAACTAGCATTTTAAATCATAGCACTTTTACTAATCATAAAATATGTGATGTTTAATCCTTTAACATAATAATTTGGCACCTAATTTAAACTTTAATTCTCTCTAAACTCCCCTCCCCATATTAACATACTGGAGAACCTAAGTTCATCAACAAGTTTACTAAAGTACTTATAATAGTGTTCTCATCTAGATATAAAAAATAAATAGCCAGTGTTTCATTTGATGACTCCACAACTAGTCACAACTTACACAACACTCCCAATATTTCTGTAGTTGTACTTATTATTTGAGGGTGGCCATAATGTAACATATAAATTAACTAAAAAATAGAATAAATTTTTCCATTCATGACACTCCTATATCATAGTGTAACAAAAAATTTTAACCACTGTTCAGCTTTTTTGGATATACAGTGAGGCCATCTGCACAGTAAAAACTTTTACTATAAATTAGCCCTTGGTTGCACGAGTGTACTTGCACCATTACCATTGACACAAAGCATAGTCCTCACCATGTTTTTGTAAGTGGAAACCAAATAGAAGCCAAGACTAAAAGACATTTTTTGGACTTGATCCAACAGTGTGTAATGTACACTAACAAAGCAATGTGAAGATTTTGTATTTAAAAGAATCATTGATAGAGATGTTAATTTTCTGTTATATAACAGGGACTATATATATATAAAGCTATAAAATACATTGATTGTCTACAGGCGATTAACATCAGCACTATAAAACAATAATGAAATTAATACAAAATAAAAGCAACATTATAATGAGACCAAAATTCAAAATTATTCTTCCATTACTAGTTCTCATTGTCATCTTTAAGTCACAGTGGATAGCATCTGTAGTCACAACACCCAAATGGCATCGAGATCTTGTCTGATAGATGGAATATCCCTAACGCATTTTGGTGCTCTGACCACAGACATTATCCGTTATGAGTTAAGGATGACAACAAAGACTGGTAATGGAAGAATAATTTCGAATTTTGGTCTCATTATAATGTTGTTTTGTACATATATACACATACATGTATGCAAGTACTGGTCTGTGACTCAAAAGTTCAGAATAAGGCATGCTAATGTGGATTTTGGTGCTCTGACCACAGACATTATCCGTTATGAGTTAAGGATGACAACAAAGACTGGTAATGGAAGAATAATTTCGAATTTTGGTCTTATTATAATGTTGTTTTGTACATATATATACATGTATGCAAGTACTGGTCTGTGACTCAAAAGTTCAGAATAAGGCATGCTAATGTGGATTATAGAGCGTTCCTGCATATCAAAGTTTTGAAAATTGTACAAGTTGCCACATTTAAAAGGTAATGTTTAATACAGGTATATGGTTTGCATGTGACTTCATTATTTTATAGTTCCTATACTGCTGCAGTGAAGGAAAACTAAGTATCATTCTAACCATACTTGCTATATTTCTTAAGTGCAAGATGTTATTCATTCCCATTAACAAAAATCATTCAGTTGCCACTCTAATTTTATGATGAAAAAGTATCTGAAGGAAAATACAAATTGACAAAGCACTTTTATTAAACCTCGTTAAACAGAAAATGATCACCACCTCCATTCAAACTCAATAGTTTTGTCGATAATTAGGAATTGTGTCTTTGCATACCTTAAAAAAAATGGATTAAAATACTTAATAGTTCTATGTTGCAGCAACAAAAGCCTTTCTCGGGGCCCCCTAATGGAAATAAAATATCTAAGTATACTTTATTACAGCTGCCTATCTACATAATAATGGAAATAAAATATTTCTAAATATACTTTACTGCAGCTGCCTATCTACATAATAATGGAGATAAAATATCTCTAAATATACTTTACTACAGCTGCCTATCTACATAATAATGGAAATAAAATATTTCTAAATATACTTTACTGCAGCTGCCTATCTACATAATAATGGAGATAAAATATTTCTAAATATACTT